AGCTCGTCTCTGCAGAGGTAACTCATAAAATCAACAACATAGAAATGCAGCAGCTCTCTGGTTCCTCTTTATTTGGACACGTTCAAGTTGTTGAGTTTGGAAGTTATTTCTATTTCAAAGAAGAAACTAGCAAACTGGATGCTATCACTGGTTATTATGCTGATAATGAGAGAATCATCACATTAGCACAAAAAACTAGAAATGTACAGCGCCTTGCTAAAGTATTCAGCCCCCCGAAACTTTTCCACCTATTGCCACATTTCAGGCTTTAAACATAAAGTCATAAAATTGTCATTTTTTGTGAAGAATCAACAAGTTGGACACAATCAGTTACCAGTTTTAGTCCGTGAGGCAGACACCCTGTCTACTTTTAAGGCTAGGCTTAAAACTTTCCTTTTTGATAAAGCTTCTAGTTAGAGTGGCTCAGGTTATCCTGAGCTATCTCTATAGTTCTGCTGCTATAGGCTTAGACTGCTGGAGGACATAGGGACCCCTTTTTCATCATTCTGCTTCATTCTATCTCTATTCTCCCACTCTGCAGAATCTGTTAGTTCAATCTCTAACGTTCTGCTCTCTCTGCTTTTTCTCATAGTAGCTTCATCTGGTCTGTTCCTGTTTGGCTGTGACTCCATCCCGGAGAGAAATATCAGCTGTGCTGCTGCCATCAACACCTTTGTTTCTAGATGTTGGAGCTTGGCCTGTTTTCCAGTGTAGTCCTGTTTCTCTGACAGTTGCCTTTTGTAACTATGTTTCTTTTTCTATGTCTGCTTCTGTCTCCTTGAACCCCAGTGGGCCTCAGCAGATGGCCGCTCACACTGAGCCTGGTTCTGCTGGAGGTTTCTTCCTGTTCAAAGGGAGTTTTTCCTCTCCACTGTCACTACAAGCATGCTTAGTGTGAGGGATTGCTGAAGAGTCAATGAGTCGATGCAATCAGCTGGTTTTCCTTAGATAGAAAACTTATAATCAATCTGACTGGATGATCTGGTGAACTGGAAAGTGGCTTCAGATGACATGTTTTTTGAATTTTCACTATATAAATAAAATTGGATCATGAATCAGAACGACATTTATTGGATATTTTAAATTTTTCTAAGTAATAAAAAACTGATGAGTACACCGTGCAAAATGAATCAGCTCCTTTAGCTTAAAAGCATCAAACTCTCTGCAGATGTTTAATGATCCAGCGTTAGGGGGCGGGGTTAACGCGAATCGAGTCTTTGTAATCGATTTGCTTCGCCTTAATGTGCAGGGTGACCAATCAGGTGTTAGATAACCCCGCCCCCTAACTTTGATGGGTGAGTTTGACAGATTCTTTTAATGGTTTCGATGCACTGCGACACAGGACCATGAAATAATTAAATGGACACTGAAATAATTATATATATAATAAAATGAAGACGTATTTTATTAAATTAATGACACATTTATATATTTAATTCCTTATTTATTTAATGAATTACACATTTAATTAATTGTTTATCTCTGTATTTATTTATTTAATTGTGGTACTTTATATTAGTGACGTGGTTTTAATTAATGAATGACACATTTATTTATTTAATTCAACTTTTAATTAATTATTGACACATTTAATTATTTATTTAATGCTGTATTTATTTATTTAATTTTGGCACTTTTTATCCTCCATACAATGATCTGTGCGTTGTTCAAATAAAAGTACCAGTATATGCAGCGTTATTTGCGTTTTACCGACACATACGTATATTTAAATGTGTTACAGGTAGTTTGAAAACAAAAAAAGCATTCATAATATGTACCATATTTGTTTATTTTATCATACGGATTAAATCATACGTTAAAAAAAATGCTCGTGTGTAATATCTTTATTTGTAAATATCTCATACAACGTGCGAAACCTGCGGCTTATAAAAGTACAAAATAGATTTTCTTTCTAATATTAGAGCATGCAGCTTGTAATCAGGTGCGCTCTATAGTCCGGAATTTACGGTAATTACTTATTGGTATTTTTTGAAGCGTAAGCCGATCTGAACTTAAATGTTTTTTTGTACATAACTAAAGGGAAACTCTCCCATTGAGGTGTTTTAAAGTGTATTTATGTTGTTGGATGTATTTTTCATACAGAACTAAAGGGGTAAACAGGACTAGGGTACGGTATGCTAATCTGATGTCTTGGTATTGACTGTAGGTATGCTGATCTGTCAGAACGCCGGCAGGTTTCTACATCTTAAGTTAATTTAGGCGTTAATAAACTGTTTAAGAGGAGTGAGAATGGCGCTCTTTGACTTTGAATGTATTGATATTGAATGTAAAGGAGCCGCCTCTGCTGCTTGAGGTGTGAACGTAGCATAGATTGCCTGATAAATGCCGCCCCAGAGGTCCTCATCAGTCAGAGCTACGCAGCAGGGACCAGAATCACTCATTTCAATGAGATGTAAGCGCCGCAACATTAGAGGACCGGATTGTCCGTCTGATTGCACGCGGAATCCTGTCTGTTGTGGAATATTACTGAACCATTGGGAATCATTCAGATTATCACTGGGTTCACAGACAGGATGAAAGCAGCTTCCTTTCCTCTGGGATTAGTGTGACGGATCCCTGCTAAACCTTTCTCTGGAACCTGAACGGATGAAAACTAGAACCCAAAGACAAACAGCAAAATGAGATGCTGCTTCACTGAATCAATGTTCAATAATAACATTAGGAGAAGCTCCTTCAGCTGCCGCTGCTCAGCAGCAGGGGCGGATTTAGGAAATGTGGGGCCCTAGGCAAAGACAGGCAGGGGGCCCTCTGAATGGAGAAGACATAAAACAGCCCCATTCTCCAGATAGAGAAATGTTAATAGAATAGACATCCATTATCTGTTCTAGGTTGTGTCCCTCTCTTCTTGTCCCTTTTCTTCTTGTTTTCCTCTCTATGTTTTGTACTCAGCAGACTTTTCATGCTGTCTCTAAAGGAACGAAAGATTTTTTCCACTTAGCTGATTGCTCCTTCCTGTGTTTAAAGGAACAGTTCAGTCAGCCAGGAATAATCAAAGGATCATTATTTATACCTTTGCGGTGAATTAATAACTTAGCATTAATCAGTAAAAAAAATGAAAATAATATTTTTCATTGTGATCACTGAGTCTGGGAGCGGCCATTTTAGCCCAAATATAGTAACCCCTCCCTCCTGCCATCTTCCAGCAGTGACGTCACGGTGCGGTAAGCCTAGCGCCATTCTCCCCGCTTTACAAGCTAAATCAATGGGAACTACTAGACACATCTGCAATCAACAACAATTATTGAAGATTTCCAGAGGACTTCACCACTGAAATTCACCAGAGCTATAGTGAAACTGACAATGCCCACGTGCATGGCAGCTGGATGCTGGAATACATCGGGTAAAAGTGAAAAAAAAAGAGTTATTCCACCTTTCTGATTCCTGATCCTCAAAGGACGGGTTGGTCGTTGGATCGCCAACTTGAAGAGGGAGGATTTGCCATCGAACTTCTGGCCAGAGAAAAAACCCGTAATATTCAGCCAACATTTGGAAGAAGAATGTTTTCAAGATGACTTGGATAATAGCGCGTTGTGACAAACACCAGATACAGCACTGGGACTTGATCAACAGCCGATACCGCACCGTGACGTCACTAACCAGTAGGTGGCAGTAGTGTTCTTTGACAAACATGGATGCCTCCAGTAAAGCACATTCACATGAAAATTACTCTGAATTAAAAACACTGATCATTTATTGAACAGGATTGTAGCTGCCATTAAAGTCAGTATAAATAAGAGATTAATAAATATTTAAGTTAAGAATATAGAGCTCATAAATATATACATTTTTAGTAATAAAGGTTAAATATTAAAGTATTATTTCATGTGTTTCTTGAATTTTGTTTGTTTTGATGTGGGGGAACGAGTCCTAATTAAGGGGTTAAGGGGACGCAGCTGTGGGTCGACGGAGTGTTACCTTTAAGGGTCGGTACCTGTGGATCTGTAACGTGGTTCTGGAACAAACAATCAGGCAGCCACCGCGCTGATTCCTCTGCCTAAGTCACCAGTGATAAGGACATTGGATAAAGGACTGAAGATTCTAATTTTCTCTCAAGGGAAAGCGGCAAATGAGGTACATTTTAGTTTAATTTACTGTTTACTTTGTTTGACCGTTAAGATGTAACGCAAAGAATTTCTGTTGAGTCATATATTGTATGGTCGCTTTTTTCCTTTGATGTCCTTTCGAGGAAATAATTAGTTTGTTTGCTTTTCTTTCTGTATGTTTTAACAGTTCTCACGGCACACTATCATACTTCTTGTGTGATTAAAGCCAGTATCTAAAGAACGACTTGGTTTCCTGATTTTTCGACTTGAGAGGGAATTACAAGGATGGAATCATTTCAGATTTAAAGTTCAAATTCTGAATATAAACGAACTTTTCCTTTAAAGTTCTGCATCAAATTGGCTCCAGAGGCAAAAATCCAATCAGTGTTTTTATCAATAACAACTGTAAACCATTTATGAAGGTTAAAGCTGCTAAATATCACCTGGACCCCTTTAGTTTTCGGCATGTTTTCATCTCAAAGGCCCGTTGTTTACAAAAAGCTGGCCGGATAAACGCTCTGTCTACCCGGCCTGCGACCCAAGGAGAAACGTCTGAATGCACTCAGGAAGGACGCTGGTGGGACGCCGTATTGATTTCTGTGGTTCAACAGAGACCGGGGCAACGCGTCTAAAGGCTAAAACGTTTCTGCCTGAAGCAGAGAACAAAGGAAGCCTCTCAGAGAGCCAGCAGGTGAGAAACGCGCTGCAGGGAGAAAGCGCAGAACCAACCGGAGACAAAGACAAAACTGCGGCTGAGAAAATAATCCGAATAACTTTTAAAGACAAGCTGCTTTCATTTGAGCTAAAAAACCTCTCAGACGCCACAGAGTGACGAAAAACAAAGATGCAGCTTATCGGGAGACACAAAAGAAGCAAGAAACAAAAGCAGCTTTTGTGGCGGAGCTGCGGCAGGATGACGGCGAGCCGCGTGTTTACCTGGGAGGTCTGCCAGAGCCGCTCAGCCAGAGAGCTGATCTCCGACAGGATGTGACGGATGAGAAAGGACTTTGATATGCTGCTGCTCCCCAGCGCAATCAGGGACTCCGTCAGCTTCTCTGCTGCCTGCAAAGAGGCAAATAAAACAGGTGGCACACAGTTAGGATCAACTTTATCTATCATGCAACACAAAAAAAAACAAAAAAATGCATCATTTATTCAGCAAAACCTGAGAAAAGCTTTGGAACAGTGAAGGAAATGTTCTTTTCAACAGGAATCAGGAGAAAAACCAACAACCTGGTGCTCTTATTGACCGAGGCCATTGATTGATACTCATTCCCATCATGGCTTCGGGCGCCTCTGCAATGCGAAGATGGAAAGACATCAGCAATAGCCTTGGAGCAGCAACTGCTGCTCCCCCTGAGAAGGATCATCTCCAAAGCAGAGCTGGGTGATAAATCAATTTTATCGATTCATCAAATTTGCTGTTTATAAAAACTGATGTTTTGAAAATCTGTTCTTTTTTCGAACCAATGAACTCCTTGAACTTCGTAGGTTTACAGTGAAGTCGGTCCATCCCTGGCTTCTCCCTCCAGGCTTACAGCTCTGAGGCAGTTTGCAGGAAGCAGATCCTCCAGGTCCGAGGCGACGGTTCTGGTTCTCCACCTTAAAAAGTTGGCCTGCCTCCTTCAGGCTGGAGGAGAGTTCCTGCCTCCGTGGAGGAGTTCAGCTCCTGTTCCTCAGTGATGAAAGAATGGAGCTTTCATGATCTTGGCACCATAGATTGGGTTTTACTCCTTTTCCTGTCATCTGCTTTGCTCCATCCTGCGCTCGTTATCTCTCATCAGTTCCACCTGTTCCTGCTGCTATTTATGCCACCGGCTTCAAGCCATTGGTGTCAGATTCTGTATGTTTCTGTTTGTTTTTTTCTTCCTGGTCCTGAGCTGTTTCTGCCCCCGGACTTTAGAGTTTTTGCCTGTCCAGTGTTTCTGGACTCTTACCTGGATTTCACCTGTAGTCGACCTTGGAGCTGTCTTCTGACTAGGGGTGTAAATAATAATCGTTTTGCATCGATGCATCGATACGTCCGCAAGAGAATCGATTCATGTGTTTTTTCCTCCGGTCTATTTTTATCCATTTACTCCTGGGCGTAATTCTCCCTCCCGTGCTGCGGTGGCGCTAAACCTATTTTGCCCTCCTACAGCGCTTCCTGGTTATACTCTTACAGCAGTGTGTTGCAGTGAGCTTGATGCAGACATTTTTGATTTATGCTCAGTATTGAAGCGTGGTCTGCGCTACACGCTGTGGGTCTAGATACGGCCGAGGCGGCGAGGAAGTGGGGGCGAGTTTAGTCCGACGACGGAGGGACATGAGGGCCAAAAAGAGCGGAGATCCAGGTGGAAAAAGGGTCCCAGCGTTCTCGCGCACCTCGCTCTTCTAGCGGGTCAAACCTCACGAGGTGTTTTACGCAATTTCCGTCATAAAAACAAACCAAGCCGGCCTCCTGTCTGCGGCGCTGTTTGCGGTCAGCTACAATTTGGGAGAGGAGCAGCGGAGCGTTGTGTGGAGGGGGTGGGGCGTCTGGAGCCGAGGTATTGCATTGCACTGATTTAATGCAGTATTTTTGCTGTATTTTTTGATGCAACTTTTCTACTTCTGTTATTTGCTGTTGTTTCTAAAAAAAAATGCATAATGATATTACAGCTTTCATTGATTTATTTCAAACTTGAAACTTTGTTTGGCCTGTAAGGTGTAAAAAAAAAATTTTTTTTTAATAAATCGATTAATCGAATCGAATCGTGGTGTATTATTGAGTATCGAAAATAATCGAATGGTTGGGTCAGGAAATCGATACTGAATCAAATCGCCATGATGGGTGTGATTTACACTCCTACTTCTGACCACGGCTTGGATTAATCTTCCGGATTCCTCGGTTCCTCTGCATTCTCTGGCTGCTTCTCTTCTCTCTTGGATCTCTGGTTTCAAGTTGCGGTCCTCTGGACTTCACCCCTTTTTTCTCAGCTCTGACTGAACTTTGTCAGGTTGGTGACTTTCGCGCTGATTGTCGTTCCCCGTTTGAGTTTCTGGAGTCACTGACCTGAGTCTCCATCCCTGCAGCGTTTCCAGTGACCCCGCCTCAGCTGGCGAGCAGACGTACACCGTTTTTCAATAAACTCCTTTGAAGTAATCACCGTCTGTCTCGTCTGAATTCTGGATCCAACGTTCTGAGGAGGAGACCCACAGACGATCTGAGTCTGAGTCATGCTCAGAAACCAGGTCGTTTGAATGTGTGTCGTAATGCAGATAGCAGACATTGCCGCAGATAGCGTCGCAGGGAGAAGAGAAAGGAGGCCTCTGATTGGTCAATTCTACATCCGCCCTACTCGTTGAGTATTTCCTATTTGGTACCTAATAGCAGAAACTCTGGCTGTAGCGCCGTTCACACCCCGCTCACACCCCGCTATCCCAGACACCTTGCAGGATGCTAGTTTGTAGCTCTGTACGACGGTCTGTTGGTTTGCACCTGAAGCCAAAACGCAGCGCCACGGCCGGTCTTTGGGGAACACTCATGCGTGAACTGTGTGTCGTCCGGCGTTGGATGAGGGTTGTAGACGGCGAACAAGCTCGTCAAACCAACACATGGACACCATCAATCCTAGCTAGTTCCTTATTGTCACTCTTGCGTTGTGGCATGGAATAACATAGCGCAGACCACGCTTCAAAATGTAGCATAAATCAGAAATATCTGCGTCATAGCTGCAATAAGCTAACTGCGACACACAGCTGCGGCAGGATTAACAGCCCTTAAGGAACCAGATCCCGGGGGGTCGGGGGTCAGATATCTCTTCTGATGCCCACCTGCACCTTTCTCACCTGAGAGCCAAGTCTAAAAAAAGTTTACACTTCAGGCTGAAGATGGGCTTAGCTTTGTTAACATTTTGTCTCATAAAAATATATTTTTTCCCAGAAGTTTTTTTTTTTTTTTATTACACATTGAATCAGTAAATGGGCCACATAGTGACGCTTTAAAGTATAATATTCTGGCCTCAAAAGATCTAAAAACATACTTTTACTGAAAAACAGCACCAGAAAAGAGAACTTTTAACTTAATACTCTGAGCTCTGTGAGCGCTGCATTGAAAGCTTCTGCTACCCCAGTGCATGCTGGGACAGCTGTCAGCCTGGAGAACGGACAAGTCTGCTCTAATGCATGCTGGGTAAATAGGGAAGTCTGAGAATTGGAACAGGACTAGGACTGAGACTGATGACGCTTCACGAGAACATGAGAACGCACAAGTACACAGATTGGGAAATGGCCTGAGCCTGGTTCTGCTGGAGGTTTCTTCCTGTTCAAAGGGAGTTTTTCCTCTCCACTGTCGCTACAAGCATGCTTAGTGTGAGGGATTATTGAAGAGTCAATGAGTCGATGCAATCAGCTGGTTTTCCTTAGACAGAAAACTTTGAATCAATCTGACTGGATGATCTGGTGAACTGGAAAGTGACCTGAGATGACATGATGTGAATTGGAGCTATAGAAATAAAGTCCAGCGAGTCAAACCCACAGCGACTTTGGTCTTTAGTTATAAATGTGGATTTTCTACCAGAGGTTACTGTTCTTCAACCATGAAACGGGGATTCCTCGCAGAACCACCCAATCTTTTACCTCGCTGCTTTGCAAATTACTTTCAAGCACACAAAAAACAGATTTAAGGAGAAAAATGTGATGATTTTTGTTAGAAATATTTTATTCATACTCCGTTTGTGTTTCATGGGTTGTGTACTAATGAACTATTACGATGTATAATGTGTGATTCATCGTTTATTAACTCTTGCTAAAGGTCGTTCCAGATAAAGGTCATGCAACGGACCGGTTGTGAAAGAGACCTGAACATCCTCTATCACATGTTTCTTCTAAACATGTGTTCTTGGAACAATTCAATAGTAAAACAACCACATGCTTTGTTTTAACATATGTGCTGAGGTTTAAAGTAAGATCATTTTGTTTCCCTTTCCCTTAGTTAAACCTCAGCTGGTGTAATTAGGGACATCCCCTGACTTTAATAAATAGCGAGGAGAAAGCTGAAGACTGCAGAGTGGGTTTGAGATCTGTAAACTCTGCAGTCTCTTCCTACTCTCCTCGCGAGTAAAACTAAATTGTCTCTGTGCCTTCTTTCTTTCCCTGTATGTATGTATGATGTTTTAGGTGCTTAGACCTGACAATTTTCTTTTTCTAGAAACAAGAAAATCTACTGTTTTTGTGATAAAAGTTCCTTTGCTCCAACCCTAATGAATCCGGGGTGAAAACATTCACTCCTGACGATGGAGGAGCTGCTGATTCAGCCGTCTGTTCCCCACCGTCTCCAGTTTGTGAAGAGCGTGGTTGAACCATCAACCTCCTGTCAGTGCGATGTCCTCAGCCGGACGGGTGATGAGGCGGCTTCTCTGACCTCTGCGGCATGTCTGAGGCATCTCGGACAATCGGGCTGACTGAGGAAGACCTCAGAGTGCGTCACGGAGAAGAGCTCTACATCATCCTTTCCTCACTGTCAGCTCAGAGAATAAAGATCCTGTTTCAAGTTGATGAGAGAAGACCCTCAGCTGAGAATGCTGTGGAGAACAGCCTGCAGCCATGAGAGGAGGGAGGTTTGAAGAGCTAAACATTACTGAAATGTTTAAAGAAAATGGAGAATCTGTGTCGAGGTGTGCAGAAAGGAAAAGAGCTGCAGCCATCTGGGTTTAACAAACACAGGAGGACCAGGAGACGGACTCCGTCTGCATAGAGCCGATAAGTTTACACCCAGTGGCTCCTCCAGGTAGAGGCAGGCAGTGTTTCCCCATCAGTGATTCTCAGCACATATAACTTTAAATAACTGAGTTACTTTATAGTGCATTAGTCCCTTACTTTTACAAAGACGGAGCAATAGGAATTAGGGAGGAGCAGACGCTCCACCTCACTGCTTTCTGCACCGTAGAGCTTTAAGCTAGAGAGACAAATGAGAGGAAAAAAGGAGGAAGGATTTGCTGAAGGTTTCTTCCTGTTCAAAGGGAGTTTTCCTCTCCACTGTCACCGAAAATCTTTGTACAACTTTTATTCCCCAAAGCCTTAAGTCTATGCAAAGTGAATTT